TCGATACCTATTACAAATAAAGTTCCCTCAGGTTCTTCTTTCTTGTAAAAGACATCCCATTTTCCACGGCCAGCTCAGCATTTTGACCTCCAAGAATTTCCAGTATACGTTCATTAGCCAGTTTACTGACCCATCCTTTTATGAAGACAGTGGACTTTAGGAGCACCGGAAGCTCGTTCTTCTTTGCCAGTCCCATAAACAATAAAAATCCGTAATCACTCATATTTTCCATACAAATCGATTTTTATATCAAAAATATAAAATTTAAATTTATTTTTAATCGAGATAACAAAAAAATCTATGATCAGTTAAATATGCCATAAAAAAGTTGTTCGGTTGCCATTTTTTAAATTCAGCTCAAATCTAAAAACCATGAAGATATGTATTTGACTACTCATAAGAGTGTCCCGAAAGACAGCACTTTTGCAAATATTATATAGGTAGACCTTTCAAACGATGCATAGAAAGCAGTATTCATATAATATTTGGATAAATTGATCATTCGATATCTTTTTATACTTTTAGAAAATCATCCACCAAAATTTTGCAAGCTTTTCAAATTAAATAATGATTTTGAACAACTCCAGCACACATTATCCATTTACCATTTACAAATTCCGAATTTCCTTTTAATTAGAGGAAGACGTGGATATTTTAATAAGTAAAATTATTTGGGTATCTGCTTTGTACATCTAACGATATTTGACCTTTATTTCTTCGGATTTAATAAGTGGTGTCTAAATTCAGCCAAAACTTTAGTGTGGATGCATAAAAGCTAATGAATAAAAATAACATGTTTAAACATACTTTTGTATAAATGGATGTATTTTTGAGAAAAAATTATGAGACAAACTCAAATTAAAATTTGGTTTGTTTCCTCTGGAATTCTTCATATTTTTTAGTAAAGGAAAAAACATAATTTTGTTATTTTTAAAAGAATTTGAAATCTTCTAATGAGCCCAAATTTGTCATGATTTTGTGCAGGATTTTTCATAATCGATTCAGAGTTTCTTCAATTGCCTGTACTTTTTCAAATAGAAAGAAAATCGCTTGAAATTTTGTACGGTTAATGCTATGTATTTTTGTAGTTAATAAAATGCCCCGAAGCCTTTTGCCTCTATACACCAGGGGCACTACAATTCAAAGTACAGTGTGACCGAATTTAAACTGAACAGTTCTTTAAATCTACTGCACATGGGGAAAATAAAACAACTAATTTGGAAGTGTCTTTAGTTCCCTACCAGTGATTGAGAATGCTGATTTCAGTATTATTTCTCAAAAAAAGTTTCCTAAATGTTTCTACAAATTAGTCAAAATTTCCTAATTAAAGCTCCTTTTTAAATTTGAAAATTGTTAAGGGACCTTTTGGTCCAAAAACTGACTTTAACGCTTAGGTAGGTTGGTCGATAAGAGGATGTATACTACATCAAATCCGAAGAAATACACCTAGGCCACTCCTCGAGCTCCCTACCCTTTAAAGCTATTACATTCGCCCTTTCGTTACCGACTACTCCCGAGTGGGCTGGTACCCATATGGTGTGAACCTTACCTATGGGACAGTATTCAGTTAAAGCTTTCTTACAGTCCAATACGGTCATAGATTTAGTTCTATAACATAATATCGCCCTATTGCCTTATGGCTATCGGTAAATATATTAAGCGCTGTGGGCGCCATATTTATTCTAATCCAATTTACGCATTCCGTTATTGCTCGTACTTCTGCCTGGAAGCTTGTGTTATGATTTGGTAAACGGTGGTATATTTCTGTTTCTGGGTCTTCAATATAGAACCCCAGCCCCACTTAGTCCCCCAATTTAGAGCCATCCGTGTAACAACGGATTCCTACTGGTATTTGCTCCAATGTTCCGCTTGACCAAGACATTCTATCTGGGATCAGCGTTTCAAAGTTTCCGACATATTCTGTGTCTACGATCAGGCATTATCGTATACCAGTATACATTGATGACGTGTCTTATAACCGCTTTTGGCCAGCTCTCCTAAAGTAAAGAGCCGTTTGGCTGTAAGCGCAGCCTCATATCTTAAATATGTTTCAATGGGTGGAATATCTAGCAACGTTTCCAGAGCCTTGGTTGAAGTAGTACACGTGGCACCACTTATACCCAAGCACCATGTACGCAGAACTCCCTGTAGTAGTTTGATATTGCGCTTTTTGTCTAAAGCAGTCCACCAGGTTATTAAGGCATAAGCTAGAATTGGTCTAATTACACTTTTATAAAGCCAATTTGTCATAGTAGGACTAAGACTCCATTTCATGCCTATAGTTCTCCTACATATCGCCCAACACCGATGTGCCTACACATGTAATTTGTATCCTTTCCCTTTAAAAGTATTACGATATCGTCTGCATAGCAGACAGGTCTAAGTCCTTTCCCGGTTAGGGTCCTTACGAGGCTATTAATCGTGGTAACCCGGAGTAAAGGTGACAAAATGCCACCCTGTGGGATACCACGAAAGACGTTTTTCCTGATAGTTATACCATTTCATGCCTATGGTTCTCCTACATATCGCCCAGCACCGATGTGCCTTGTTGATCCTATCCTCTATGTGGTGTCTCCATTTTAATTTCCGGTCAAGTATTACACCTAAGTACTTAACTTTGTCTGTCGCCGGTATCTTCTTGCCCAGGAAGCAAGGTTCAGTATACGTAGAAATTTTTGTCTTTCTTGTGAAAAGACAGATTTCCGTCTTCGCCTGTTTAACATTGAGGCCTCTCGGTTGAGCCCAGCTCAAGGCCGTATTCAGAGCCTCCTCAGCTCTTCTCCACAAGTAATTTGTATCTTTTCACTTTAAAAGTATTACGACATTGTCTGCATAGCAGACAGGTCTAAGTCCTTTCTCGGTTAGGGTCCTTACGAGGCTATTAATCGTGGTAACCCGGAGTAAAGGTGACAAAATGACACCCTATGGGATACCACGAAAGACGTTTTTCCTGATAGTTATATCGTACATCTCGCAGCTTATCCATCTGTTCCTTAGCATGCGGTCGATCCAGTTACGGAGCACCCGGTCAACATAAAACTGGTCTAGGGAGTGGATAAGAGTATCAGTGTGCATGTTATTGAAGGCGCCTTCGATGTCAATGCATACCGCCAATGTATATTGTTTGCTATCAAAGGATGCATCTATGTAGTGGGCAACTTCGTTTAAAGCGGTTTCCACCGATCGTCCCTTTACATAAGCATGCTGCTTAAATTTTAGGTCTTTGTATGGTATACTGCTTTTAACCATAATATCGACTATCCGTTCCAAGGTTTTAAGTAGGAAGGACGTAAGACTTATCGGTCGATAAGACTTAGGTGTCGAATAGCTAGGTTTCCCTGGTTTTGGTATAAATATTACCCTTGCATCCTGCCATTTAATGGGGGTATATGTGAATTTTAAGCATGCAGTGAATATCTGAGATAGATGTACGGAAACCAGTCCCGCCTCCATCTGTAAGAGTGCCGGGGAAATCCCATCCGGTCCTGCAGCTTTATAGGGAGCGAAGCTCTTGATTGCCCCTTTAACCATGTCAGATGTAATTACAATTTCCGTGTTAGCCTCCCGTTCCTCCAATATCGGTTCATCTATGTTATTCGATATACCGGGTGGGAAATGAGAGTCCATTAGGAGTTTCATTGTCTCCTCCATATCCTCCAGCCTCCTGCCCGTATCATCGACCATAGATTCCGGTTGGACATGAGTTTTGGATAGGAATTTTTTATCTTCGATACGTCATTTACGCTGTCTACCTGTTCACAGAAAAGTTTCCAGGAGTATCGTTTGGCTTTACGAACAATTTTCTTATATTCACCAAGTTTACTACGATACTCATCCCAGTATACTGCGGTCTTTTTACGCCGTGCCTGGTTAAATAGTTTGTGAAGAGTCTTACCAGGTTCCGGATCTCCCCGGTTACCCAGGGTTTCTCCTGGGCAGATCTTCGCTCTCGCAGAGGGCAGCTGTCCTCGAACGATTCAGCCAAGGCACTTGTGAGCATTGCTACTTTGGCGTCTATATCTTCTTTATTTCGACTTTGAAAAGTGTCCTGACATAAACGGTTCTTTAGTAAGAACCGAACATTGTCCAAATTAGTTTTAGACTTATTCCGAAATTTTATCCTCTTCGGTGGCGCCCGTAGTATTTTGAATCTTATGTACCGATGGTCAGAAAAGGAGTGCTCGTCCGAAACTCTCTAATCCTGAATTTCGTTTATAAGCTCTTCTGAACATATAGATATATCTAATAATTCTTCTTTGATTCTATTGACGAAGGTAGCTTTATTATCTAAATTCGATGTGTCTTTAGTACTAAGGAAATCCATAAGGGCTTGTCCCCTGCGATTAGTGTTTTTACTACCCCAAGCTACATGGTGGGAGTTGGCATCACAACCTATTACAATTTTCTTATTTTTCCTTTGTGCTTCTTCAACCAGTTTCATCAGCTCCGACGTTGATGGTAGTGTCAGAGAATCGAAAGGCAGGTAAACAGATGCAAGGTATATGTTGCCACAACATTGCTTCAGCACTGTTGTATCCGATGTGGATAATCCTGTTGAGAGGAGAAAACATAAGTTATTGTGACATAAGATACATGTTCTCGGTCGAGACCCTGTACGTGATTTAATCCAGAAACCTTGTTGCGAATCGTCCACGGTTCCCGGATTAAAGCTATAAGTATATTACCTGTGTTAATTTTAGCCATCAGAGCGTTGGTAGGCGTCTGACTCCGATGGAGGTTTATTTGGATAACCTCAATCATTGTCATCCATTTAAACTGTCTTCCAGCGAGTTAGTGATCACATCCCAGCTCGTTGGATTTGACTCCTCCGGGTAACCTGAAGTGGCTATTGATGCAGTGGGTACCATTGGTGGCTTTTAGAATTTGACTCTTTAACGTTATCAGTAGTTGCTACTGATGCTGTGGTCTTAGGTATTTTAGTGTCCTTTTCGAGGCTTGTTGTAACAGCCCTTTCAATCGGCACCTTCCCAATTTTGAATATGACAGCTTTAGAGGCGAAGTAAGTCCCACCTTGTTTCTTGGCAAGACTAGCCATAGATTTCTGGTCGATACCTATTATAAATAAAGTTTCCTCAGGTTCTTCTTTCCTGTAAAAGGCATCACATTTTTCCATGGCCAGCTCAGCATTTTGACCACCAAGAATTTCCAGAATACGTTCATTAGCCAGTTTACTGCCCCATCCTTTTATGTAGACAGTGGACTTTAAGAGCACCGGAAGCTCGCTCTTCTTAGCGCCGTCCCAGGAAGGAGGGACGGCCAAGTTCTTTAGGGTGCTAATACATTGGAAGCTCAAGCTATCTATTGGTTGTTTGCCCTTTGAATCGATTGCATGGTCCACTATCTTATTGTTCACCAGATCTTCTACCTTACTCTTTTGGTCTATTGGAATTTTGCCTGACTTAACCTTTAATAGCCAGATTTTCTTGTTTGAGCGGCAAAAATTAATTAATACATTTCTAAGCAACTTTTGTTCTACAACCTAGTTCATATGTAGTATTTACCTGTGTTATGTGACAAATACCTGGTTGGTTCCTAGAGGAACCTTCAGACACCCGGACTTCCAAATTATAAATATTGTAAAACGTACTTTAAAAGCAATATAAGCAATTTCATGGTTAATGAAGACAAGTATATTGGGATATAAATACAATATATAAAACAGCTCTTTTCTGAAGAAAAATATGATTTTGTGCGACATTTTCGACATCGAACTTTTGTTAGGGATGAATAATTTGGACTTTTTGATCGCAGTATGCCTTATATTATAAATTTTGGTAAGAGTATTATGTGATCTAGGTGAATATCGCTAGTTGGCAATAAACAGAGATTGTACGCCGACGTTTCAAAGCAATTTCAACCCCAAAATTTTTTGGTCGATCTTTTCCCACTCGAATTTTAACACAAGATTTCATCAAGCAATGACAGACTACTGGCACAAATGCTATGCTTCATTTTGAAATAAATCAATCAAAAAACATCCCAAAAATATCGATTTATATAATCTGATATATGAACAAATTTGAATCCTGGGTGCCTGGTGGTCCCTTAAAGAACCAACCAGAAATTTCTAAAAATCTCTCTAACTAAAGAAGTAAAATCACTTCAAATACCTATTATTGCAATAATATTAGGCAAGGATCCGTAAAATATTGTTTTCTGTTTAAAATTTTGTCGATTTACAACTAAATATTTTTGCCAAAAGTACACAATATCACAAAAGTAAATTTTTTGAGGTAATTGCATTCTTTTGAACCTGGACAAGTCAAAAGAATCTTTATTCCAACACTGATCAAAGAAATTAGTGCCGCTTGCAATTAAAAACATTTTAAAAGTCATAACATGAAGTTGACAAATATTTAAATAACAAAAAACTTAATTTTTATTGGTTGGTTCCTGGCGGTACCACCAGGCTATTAAGGGTTAAGTATTAAACAAAATGCAGAAAAATATAATAACTATTTTATCGTTATAAGCTAAATTTTGACATCTATTAAAAAAAAGTATAGTCATTACAGATAGAAAAATATTCTCTTTACTTTTAGAAGAAACCCGGGCAACGTACTACAACTATATAGAAGATAAAAATTTTCACTAATATTGGATTACAGCAAATAGTATTATTAAATATTTACCAGCTATGTAATAGAAACGTTTTTTAATAAATTCATAATTTTCATAAACTTTTTTATACACCTATTGCCGCTTTCAAGAAAATGTGTAATACATACGTAATTTATTGTCATGGTTGTATTTTTAGTATTGTTAATGACAGTACACATAGTTGTATTTTTTCGTATTTGTAATCACATTAATCATAGTTCTATTTTTTGTGATTAAAAATAAATTAAATAAAAAGTTCGGTGTTCGGCCAAATTTTTACCGAACTAGTGTTTATAAACCTGTTAAGCGGTTAACCGAAAAATCGGGTTTTATTGCATATTTCGGTTTTTCGCAAACCGTTTTTTTTAAACATTGGTTTTCGGTTAACCGAGTTATCCGGTTTTTGAGTCTCGGTTAACCGTTTCCAAAAAATTTAATTTTTAGTACAAAATTGTATGTTTTCTTTGATTTTTTAATTTTTGGATAGATAATTCCAAACATTATTTTCGGTTTGTGCATATAAAAACAGACCTAAGATTGTTAAACAAATGGAAATGTTAAACATATATTATGTATATGAAATGGAGATTAAGAATTTCAGACAATCAGGAAATTAAAAAAAAGTTGGCATTTAAAACAATAAAAAATTAACTATTTAAAGAAATTCCAACCATTTTATGAAGAAATTTGTTATTTATTAAGACGAATAAATAACTTTGATGATAAAATGCAGGATGCACTTGTTTACTGCGTGAGTATAATAAAAATCGGGAAGTTTCTCAAACGTTCTCAAAACGGGCTTTATTTATCAAAACTGGAGGAAGTCAGAATGACACCTGTCAATATTCCTAAGCGTCATTCACAGTAATTTGAACAACCACAGGCGTAGCGAGCGGAGGGAGGTCACAATTAAAGCAGGGGCGCAATGTCTATGTCGAGGCAGTCGTCGTCTACTTCCGTTCCCGATGAATCGTCGCACAGTGGTATGGGAAAAAAAGAGGGAAATAATTCGGTAACTTCTAAACGGTTAATCCGATTTTGATGAAATTTGGTATGCACAAAGAGGAGGTGTTGTCGAGTTTAGGTTTTGAATTTGGACTTTATAGTCCAACCAGGGGCCCGGCGGGGGGTCCTCAAATTAGGACTCCTCGGCTATATTAAATTTTTAAAACGATCCTATTTCTTCATTTGAGTCGAAGCGGTAAATTATCTCTTATAGTTTAGGAGATATTCGCATTTGAAAATTAAAATTTAAAAATTTTTACCGTCCTTACTTTAGTTTTTTGATAATAGCGGGTCCAAATATTCCCGATTTTCGCCATTTTTTTTATTCGCTTAACAACAAGTTTATATATCAAGCAGTGAAAGAATTATATAAAAATCATGACTGAGTCCAAAGTTATAGGCATTTTAATTTAAAAAATTAAAAAAAGACGATTTTTTGTAATTTTTTTGGGAAAAAAGCATCTTTTTCTTTTTAAGTTATCTAAAAAGTTTCTAAGAAGATGTATATAGAATTTATACTTTTTGGAAAGCTGACTTTACATAAAATACGATAAATGAAACAAAACCTAAAAATTTTTGATACCGAGGGGACCAGGTCCATTCAAAAAAACCCCATTTTTTATGGAAAATTCAATTTTGAGCAAAAATTCTCAAATCGCATAGTCGATATCAAATTATAGTGACCTGTTTTATATGACCCAATATGTTCTTAATCATTTTGTAACGGGTTTCGATAACCCCGCCCCTGGTATGGATATAATAGGCAAAAAACCAAAAAATCCCATTTTTGGGATTTTTTTAAAGTTTTTTGGGAATTTCGGGATTTCTAATAAGAAAATTAGAAATTTTTTTAATTTTGGATTTTGAGTAAAATAATCTACCTAAATTTCATCAAAAAACACTCATAAATAAAATTTTTATTGAAATTTGAAAAATTTGTATCTTCGCAAAAACTGAATAAAAAACATTTTTTAATTTTTTTTTAAAAAAGGTATTCCGCGAATTTTTTAATTATATACAGTTTTGAAAAATAGACAAAATTACCTTTCTATTGATATATAACATGCCTACCTAATGTTTTTTAAGTGGCAAATTAATTAGGGAAAACTCAACATTTTTTAGAAAATTTACCTAGCACTATTATTTTCAACCATAAGGTTAACTCTTAAATTTGTTACATATGTATATGGTAAAATCTTAGGTCTGTTTTTATATGCACAAACGGAAAATAATGTTTGGAATTATCTATCCAAAAATTAAAAAATCAAACCATTCAAAAAAACCCTATTTTTTATGGAAAATTCAATTTTGAGCAAAAATTCTCAAATCGCATAGTCGATATCAAATTATAGTGACCTGTTTTATATGACCCAATATGTTCTTAATCATTTTGTAACGGGTTTCGATAACCCCGCCCATGGTATGGATATAATAGGCAAAAAACCAAAAAATCCCATTTTTGGGATTTTTTAAAACTTTTTTCAATTTCAACCCCAAAATTTTTTTGGTCGATCTTTTCCCACTCGAATTTTAACACAAGATTTCATCAAGCAATGACAGACTACTGGCACAAATGCTATGCTTCACTTTGAAATAAATCAATCAAAAAACATCCCAAAAATATCGATTTATATAATCTGATATATGAAAAAATTTGAATCCTGGGTGCCTGGTGGTCCCTTAAAGAACCAACCAGAAATTTTTAAAAATCTCTCTAACTAAAGAAGTAAAATCACTTCAAATATCTATTATTGCAATAATATTAGGCAAGGATCCGTAAAATATTGTTTTCTGTTTAAAATTTTGTCGATTTACAACTAAATATTTTTGACAAAAGTACACAATATCACAAAAGTAAATTTTTTGAGGTAATTGCATTCTTTTGAACCTGGACAAGTCAAAAGAATCTTTATTCCAATACTGATCAAAGAAATTAGTGCCGCTTGCAATTAAAAACATTTTAAAAGTCATAACATGAAGTTGACAAATATTTAAATAACAAAAAACTTAATTTTTATTGGTTGGTTCCTGGCGGTACCACCAGGCTATTAAGGGTTAAGTATTAAACAAAATGCAGAAAAATATAATAACTATTTTATCGTTATAAGCTAAATTTTGACATCTATTAAAAAAAAAGTATAGTCATTACAGATAGAAAAATATTCTCTTTACTTTTAGAAGAAACCCGGGCAACGTACTACAACTACATAGAAGATAAAAATTTTCACTAATATTGGATTACAGCAAATAGTATTATTAAATATTTACCAGCTATGTAATAGAAACGTTTTTTAATAAATTCATAATTTTCATAAACTTTTTTATACACCTATTGCCGCTTTCAAGAAAATGTGTAATACATACGTATTTTATTGTCATGGTTGTATTTTTAGTATTGTTAATGACAGTACACATAGTTGTATTTTTTCGTATTTGTAATCACATTAATCATAGTTCTATTTTTTGTGATTAAAAATAAATTAAATAAAAAGTTCGGTGTTCGGCCAAATTTTTACCGAACTAGTGTTTATAAACCTGTTAAGCGGTTAACCGAAAAATCGGGTTTTATTGCATATTTCGGTTTTTCGCAAACCGTTTTTTTTAAACATTGGTTTTCGGTTAACCGAGTTATCCGGTTTTTGAGTCTCGGTTAACCGTTTCCAAAAAATTTAATTTTTAGTACAAAATTGTATGTTTTCTTTGATTTTTTAATTTTTGGATAGATAATTCCAAACATTATTTTCGGTTTGTGCATATAAAAACAGACCTAAGATTGTTAAACAAATGGAAATGTTAAACATATATTATGTATATGAAATGGAGATTAAGAATTTCAGACAATCAGGAAATTAAAAAAAAGTTGGCATTTAAAACAATAAAAATATCAAGCAGTGAAAGAATTATATAAAAATCATGACTGAGTCCAAAGTTATAGGCATTTTAATTTAAAAAATTAAAAAAAGACGATTTTTTGTAATTTTTTTGGGAAAAAAGCATCTTTTTCTTTTTAAGTTATCTAAAAAGTTTCTAAGAAGATGTATATAGAATTTATACTTTTTGGAAAGCTGACTTTACATAAAATACGATAAATGAAACAAAACCTAAAAATTTTTGATACCGAGGGGACCAGGTCCATTCAAAAAAACCCTATTTTTTATGGAAAATTCAATTTTGAGCAAAAATTCTCAAATCGCATAGTCGATATCAAATTATAGTGACCTGTTTTATATGACCCAATATGTTCTTAATCATTTTGTAACGGGTTTCGATAACCCCGCCCCTGGTATGGATATAATAGTCGATATCAAATTATAGTGACCTGTTTTATATGACCCAATATGTTCTTAATCATTTTGTAACGGGTTTCGATAACCCCGCCCATGGTATGGATATAATAGGCAAAAAACCAAAAAATCCCATTTTTGGGATTTTTTAAAACTTTTTTCAATTTCAACCCCAAAATTTTTTTGGTCGATCTTTTCCCACTCGAATTTTAACACAAGATTTCATCAAGCAATGACAGACTACTGGCACAAATGCTATGCTTCACTTTGAAATAAATCAATCAAAAAACATCCCAAAAATATCGATTTATATAATCTGATATATGAAAAAATTTGAATCCTGGGTGCCTGGTGGTCCCTTAAAGAACCAACCAGAAATTTTTAAAAATCTCTCTAACTAAAGAAGTAAAATCACTTCAAATATCTATTATTGCAATAATATTAGGCAAGGATCCGTAAAATATTGTTTTCTGTTTAAAATTTTGTCGATTTACAACTAAATATTTTTGACAAAAGTACACAATATCACAAAAGTAAATTTTTTGAGGTAATTGCATTCTTTTGAACCTGGACAAGTCAAAAGAATCTTTATTCCAATACTGATCAAAGAAATTAGTGCCGCTTGCAATTAAAAACATTTTAAAAGTCATAACATGAAGTTGACAAATATTTAAATAACAAAAAACTTAATTTTTATTGGTTGGTTCCTGGCGGTACCACCAGGCTATTAAGGGTTAAGTATTAAACAAAATGCAGAAAAATATAATAACTATTTTATCGTTATAAGCTAAATTTTGACATCTATTAAAAAAAAGTATAGTCATTACAGATAGAAAAATATTCTCTTTACTTTTAGAAGAAACCCGGGCAACGTACTACAACTATATAGAAGATAAAAATTTTCACTAATATTGGATTACAGCAAATAGTATTATTAAATATTTACCAGCTATGTAATAGAAACGTTTTTTAATAAATTCATAATTTTCATAAACTTTTTTATACACCTATTGCCGCTTTCAAGAAAATGTGTAATACATACGTATTTTATTGTCATGGTTGTATTTTTAGTATTGTTAATGACAGTACACATAGTTGTATTTTTTCGTATTTGTAATCACATTAATCATAGTTCTATTTTTTGTGATTAAAAATAAATTAAATAAAAAGTTCGGTGTTCGGCCAAATTTTTACCGAACTAGTGTTTATAAACCTGTTAAGCGGTTAACCGAAAAATCGGGTTTTATTGCATATTTCGGTTTTTCGCAAACCGTTTTTTTTAAACATTGGTTTTCGGTTAACCGAGTTATCCGGTTTTTGAGTCTCGGTTAACCGTTTCCAAAAAATTTAATTTTTAGTACAAAATTGTATGTTTTCTTTGATTTTTTAATTTTTGGATAGATAATTCCAAACATTATTTTCGGTTTGTGCATATAAAAACAGACCTAAGATTGTTAAACAAATGGAAATGTTAAACATATATTATGTATATGAAATGGAGATTAAGAATTTCAGACAATCAGGAAATTAAAAAAAAGTTGGCATTTAAAACAATAAAAAATTAACTATTTAAAGAAATTCCAACCATTTTATGAAGAAATTTGTTATTTATTAAGACGAATAAATAACTTTGATGATAAAATGCAGGATGCACTTGTTTACTGCGTGAGTATAATAAAAATCGGGAAGTTTCTCAAACGTTCTCAAAACGGGCTTTATTTATCAAAACTGGAGGAAGTCAGAATGACACCTGTCAATATTCCTAAGCGTCATTCACAGTAATTTGAACAACCACAGGCGTAGCGAGCGGAGGGAGGTCACAATTAAAGCAGGGGCGCAATGTCTATGTCGAGGCAGTCGTCGTCTACTTCCGTTCCCGATGAATCGTCGCACAGTGGTATGGAAAAAAAAGAGGGAAATAATTCGGTAACTTCTAAACGGTTAATCCGATTTTGATGAAATTTGGTATGCACAAAGAGGAGGTGTTGTCGAGTTTAGGTTTTGAATTTGGACTTTATAGTCCAACCAGGGGCCCGGCGGGGGGTCCTCAAATTAGGACTCCTCGGCTATATTAAATTTTTAAAACGATCCTATTTCTTCATTTGAGTTCCGATTAAAAAAAAAAAATCGTATATAGAATCTCCTCATCAAGCACTATAAAAACTGTCGTCGTAGCGGTAAATTATCTCTTATAGTTTAGGAGATATTCGCATTTGAAAATTAAAATTTAAAAATTTTTACCGTCCTTACTTTAGTTTTTTGATAATAGCGGGTCCAAATATTCCCGATTTTCGCCATTTTTTTTATTCGCTTAACAACAAGTTTATATATCAAGCAGTGAAAGAATTATATAAAAATCATGACTGAGTCCAAAGTTATAGGCATTTTAATTTAAAAAATTAAAAAAAGACGATTTTTTGTAATTTTTTTGGGAAAAAAGCATCTTTTTCTTTTTAAGTTATCTAAAAAGTTTCTAAGAAGATGTATATAGAATTTATACTTTTTGGAAAGCTGACTTTACATAAAATACGATAAATGAAACAAAACCTAAAAATTTTTGATACCGAGGGGACCAGGTCCATTCAAAAAAACCCCATTTTTTATGGAAAATTCAATTTTGAGCAAAAATTCTCAAATCGCATAGTCGATATCAAATTATAGTGACCTGTTTTATATGACCCAATATGTTCTTAATCATTTTGTAACGGGTTTCGATAACCCCGCCCCTGGTATGGATATAATAGGCAAAAAACCAAAAAATCCCATTTTTGGGATTTTTTTAAAGTTTTTTGGGAATTTCGGGATTTCTAATAAGAAAATTAGAAATTTTTTTAATTTTGGATTTTGAGTAAAATAATCTACCTAAATTTCATCAAAAAACACTCATAAATAAAATTTTTATTGCAATTTGAAAAATTTGTATCTTCGCAAAAACTGAATAAAAAACATTTTTTAATTTTTTTTTTTAAAAGTATTCCGCGAATTTTTTAATTTTCAAAAATTATATACAAAGAAAATAGACAAAATTACCTTTCCATTGATATATAAAAAGTATTCCGCGAATTTTTTAATTTTCAAAAATTATATACAGTTTTGAAAAATAGACAAAATTACTTTTCCATTGATATATAACATGCCTACCTAATGCTTTTTTTTTAAATCGGAACTCAAATGAAGAAATAGGTTCGTTTTAAAAATTTAACATAGCCGAGGTGTCCTAATTTGAGGACACTAAAATCGGATTAACCGTTTAGAAGTTACCGAATTATTTCCCTCTTTTTTTTCCTATACCACTGTGCGTCGCGAGCCTATTTATTTATACTTGATAGTCCTGGACATAAAATTTGTTATTGATATAGATGCATCCTATCAATAGATGCATCCTATCCTATGGCAACTTCCATATACCTAACGAATCAATAATATCTTCAGTACAGCAATTCTGTAATTTTTTAATTTTAACTACCGATATCGTAAAGTAACGAAAAATATCGGTTGCATTAACGAATGTTCTATTCTCTAATTTAAGTTAACGAATATTATCGTTAGAATATTTTAACGATAAATATCGGTACAAATGTGAGAATGTCAAAGTTGTATAAAAAATAAATAAAATTATTAAAAAAAGTTTATGCATAAAAATGGAAAAAAAAAGAGTAAGTATTAAATTATAAGCGAAAATTTTGTGTAATTTAATAATTTTTCCTTAGGAAGAAAACACGAGGCCCTCGAGCCACAGCAGCACAACATGCCGCACTTCTTTCTTTCCTGGAAAATGAAAAAGGTTTGGCTGAAGGCAAATTTGCTGCCTTGCATGGTAAGGAAATGGCAAGGAAGAAATGGGAAGATTTGGCCAATGAAATAAACAAAATTCCAGGTGCATTTAAAAGTGCTGACCAATGGCAAATTGTAAGTATTTTTACCATAACTTTACAAATTATTTATTTGTTATTTAAATTCTAGGTTTGGAGGGACATGAAATCAAAAGCTTCCTCAAAATTTAAAATTTTAAAAAGAGAGAGAGCAAAGACTGGAAATAAACCCCTATCAGAAGATTTCCTTTCACCCTTGGAAGAGAGAATAGTAGGGATTGTCGGTTGGGAATACATGATGGGGAATGAAAGTGTTCCAGACAGTTTTGATACCACTGTGGTAAGTTAATTATGAATACGATTTAAATTAATATACACTTATATTGCGTTCTACAATATATACAACAGTTAAATGAAGAAATCACGATCACTGGACAAGAGGAAAATTTTACAGAAACAGTAGAATTTGAATGTGAAGCAAGTATTTCAGAAGTTCCCACTACATCGAACTGCGGAAACGGAAATAAAAGTGAAATACCAAAAAAGCGCCAAAAAAGGGAGTGTTCTATTAAAGAAGAGTTTTTACAAATTGCAAAAACTCAGGCTGATGCAATGATGGTGAGTGTCTACAGTGTCTGATTATATATTAGGTCTACTGAAGATGTAGGGTACATATAGTTGGACTTGACTGATTAAACTTACTTGTTAATATACATAAATAATTTATAACTTTTTTATCATTTTCAGAATTTAGCAAATGCGCAAAAAGAAACGGCAAAAGCTTTAAATAAAATATCGGATAGTTTCGTCGTTCTAAACGAGATTTTGGCCTCTTATAAGAGAATGGAAATTGTACTTTCAAATATAGAAGAAAGCGTCAAATTAAATAACTTTGTTTTTAAACCTTAATTGTATTTATTGTTTTTATTTTGCCTTTTTTATTGTTTAAATTTAAAATAAAATCTTAATTTTTATTAAAAATGTTTATGAATAATTTATTTAGTAGCTATTTATTAAATAATTAACTAAAGTATTGTTCAATAATTTGGTTTTGAATGCGTCTTGCTACTGAAAGTAGTGATTGGTTTTGTTCTAGGGATTCGTCTTGACTTTGAAAATGTACTTCATCATTAAACTCATTAGATGAGAAGTTGTTATTCTGACGTTTAATGTTATGCAGTACTGTACAAGCATTTACTATTTTCCCGGCAAAAGCAGGTTTGTATTGTAGAGTTCTGTGCCTTGAAAGACATCTCCATGTTGCTTTTATAACACCAAAAGCCCTTTCGATGCAGTTACGAGTTTTACAAAGCGCTTCATTATATCTAAATCTTGGTGTACCGGGAGTTTCCTCTGGCAAAGGAGTCATAAGCCAAGGCTCTAAAGGATATCCCATATCACCTGAAGTATGTAATTATAGATAGTTCCTTTATGTTTATACGTATTTGTATATACATAAATATTATCATATAATTGACCTATTAAAAACGTTCTTTACTCTCCACTATTGAATGTCCTTTCCAGTAAAGTTCGTACAGGACTTGAGCTCCATATATATGCATCATGTCTGGAGCCTGAGTACTGTGCATTCACATTTAATATTTTTAAGTATGGATCACAAATCTAAAAGTAATGCATAATTTATATTTTAAGTCTGTAAAATACCAATTTCCATTCATATTATACCATTTGCACATTTAAAGAATGGTAACCATGGTGGTTAACGTAAGCTCCTTCGTTGTTTGGAGGAGCAAGAATAGCAACGTGAGAACAATCAATAGCACCAATACAGCCGTCAAAGGGATATGAACTGTTTCGAAATTGTTCTTTAACACTGTTCCTTTCATACGTTGTTATCGGGAACTTGACCCATTGCTTCAATAACACATCATTGATTGCATCAGTAACTCTATGTAAAGAACGACTAACTGAGGGTTGGCTTATAGAAATGCCCCACTGTTCACCCACAGGCCTTTGAAAACATCCCGTTGCATAAAAGCGAATTGCAGAAAGAATCTTAAAAAGCTGTCTTATTTACTTATTGGTAATTTTAAAGATGAATTGTCTACCTGTTTTTCCGGGGAAATTCCAGTAATCCTATTACAAGTGAATCTGTGTTGTATTGAATCAATAATGTCATGCATTTTACTTTTATCTATCCTATAGAGCAATACAAATTCGCGATCACTCAAATCAAATGGATTTTCCATATTTCGAAGTATTCTTCGTTCTTGAGTCCGAATATGATGTTGAAAATGATCTTCCAAATACATACCAATATATTCAAATGCCATTTTTGTGCAATTTTGTAATATTAAATAATTTATTTAAATTATTCTTCTATTTGATCAATAAAACAATGTTAGCAATTGATAAAAAGTTTTATATTTTATTGAAAGTTACCTTTTTTGTTAAATTTATCTATAGAATTAACAACATTATAAATATCGTTATGTTTTAACAAGAACTATTTGTTAGTCGTTAGCTTATCGAAGGTTTTCGTTAACTACCGACAATGATTACCGACAAAAATCGAAAATATTTTACTACAGAATAGCACTTAACTAGAATTATCGTTAACTAACGAATTTTGACTATTTAACGACAAAATTTTGTCGTTAAAAAGTTACTGAATTGCGGTACAGATCTATATAAGTTTGTTTTCTTGTGTATTAATGTAATTCATAATGTTTCGCAAAATTACACTTTTCAACTAAATAGTAAAATATTTTAAAGATTTCCAAACATTTCGGTTAACCGGTTTTATAGAAATGGTAAATTTTCGGTTAACCGAAAAACCGGTTTTACTAACAGTCAGTTTTTTACAACCACTAGACCGAACGCCGAACTTTGGCCGAAAGTCACATTTACCGTACACCGAACCCGAACGTTCGGTCGGACTCTATTACTTATGCATGCAAGAAAATTGGGCCTTTAAACGAAAATAGACTATAGGCGAAGTGGACTTAAGAACAAATAACTTGTATAAAATTCGAAAAAACCTGCAAGTGAATAGGGTTGTTTTGGCTTACATCCGTTTTTGGTCTTTAAGCGGAATGGACTATAAGCAAAAAGTATTGTACATTTTATCGCTATATTCGTATTTTTTAGCCAGTAATGAGCGTTAAAGCCATTTTCTGAAGGGCACTTTATATGGAGAGTAGGGTCATTTATAGGCCGATCCTAAAAAAAATTTGTTGAGAGGTTGTGGTTCGTAAGAAACTTACTTATACCGAATTTCATCGCTGTACTAGAATTTTTAGACCAGTAATGAGTGTTAAGTCATTTTCTGAAGGCTGTAAGGTCGGGTCAATTATAGACCGATCCTCAAAAAATTTGGTAGAAAGATTTTGGCTCATATGATACTTACCTTAGCAATAGAGAATATTTATGCAAAATTTCAACTGTCTAGCTCCTCCCGTGTGGTACCTATACTGATTTCAACAGACAGACAGATGGGTCTATGACCAATATTTCGATGTGTTACAAACGGAATGATAAAATCAATATACCCCCCATATTTTCTGATGGTGGGTATAAAACTGTTAAATGATCAATATTAGGTGTTGGAGCCAAGTTGTAAAGATTTGTATACATTATCGACGCAGCGCAAGGATATACTTCAATACTACCCAAATTATTTTCATCAGCTTAGTGGTAGTGAAACTTATATTTTTAGCACTAATATTTTTAATGATAATTTTATTTTGCTAAAGCTACGTTCACCTATAAAATATTTGATGTTTTTTATCAAATATTTGTTGGCTGTAATGTGAACACAAAATATTTTTGAAGAGCAAACAAAATATCAGCTGTTTTTCGTGAAACATTTTTATTTGTCAACCTACAAATATTTTCCCAATATGAACACAATGTGAACACCAAATACGAAACATTTTTGTTTAACGTTAAAAAAATTATTTAATTATATTACAATAGTTTTTTACAATTTCATAGAAATTTCTGCCTAAAAACAAAAAATTAAATACGTTTTTATTTCATAATGTGCTTAAAATGAGTATTTCTCTTTTGACGTTTTGTTTGAAGAAGCAATGCCAAACACAATTCAGTACAAATAGTGAACATTTGTTTGCCCGATGTTCACACTACAACAAATAATTTCTTAAACGGATAAAACAGTGAAAAAACAAGATTTTGTTTGCAGGCGAAGATGAACATAACAAGAAGAACAGTTAATGCGCAACCAAAACAAAAGGCAAAAATATATCTGTTTATATTTACTACAAAGATATATCATTGAATAATAACATCAATTTATTCTAAAATTTCATTTAATATTGTTTTTCAACAAAATTTTATCACACAAAAATACAAATTACATTTCAATATCTTGTGCAAGTAGAAAAGAGACAGATGGTGAACCTGCACTGTCATGTTGTTGCTATTTAGTATAGTCAATGTAGCGAAAAACCTTGGTTGTTTGGAACGGTTTATAGCGATTTTAAAAAATAACCAAATTATAAATTATTTTCATTAAATTATCTATAAAATTTAAAATTATTGAGAATTGTTTTTTATTAATATACTAGCTACACCCAGTGTGCTTTGCTATCCTAGAAGGAATATGTATAAATAAAAATTCCACTTAACGATTTTGAAGATTCTAACCACAATAGTTTTCCAGATTTATAATACATTACATATGAGAGATGTCAAGCAAACTATTGCGAGTTCGCCAGTTTCAATCTATCGCCAATTTCTATCTATAAAAAATTTGAATAATAGAATAATTTCCAAGGTGCACGAAATTTTGTATTTAATTTATATATGTTGTGCCAAGCCACCCATTGAAACTCCGCCTCTTATGCTCTAAATGTTCACATGAATTTAAAAGTTCTTCATGTAAAATTTGAAGATTCTAGCTCTAATAGTTTCTCAGAAATACGAATTTTTTTATTTGATTCATGTGGGGGCTTCAAGCTCCCCACATTGAGAATTTTGGAATTTAAATTGAGAAAACTCCAATTAAAATTGGGAAAGTTTCAAATGAAATTGAGAAAATTTTAAATGAAATTAAGAAAATTTCAAATGAAATTGAGAACTTTTTATTTATATAACACATTTTAAAAAACAAATAATAAAGAAAATCCAATGTTAATCCACCGATTTTCGAGGAACAATGGCTGGTTTATCATGAATAGGAATACCACTCAAGTGATATGTGTTGGTAGTCTGAATACGTCAAAGTAAAAAAAAAAATATTAAAATGTGGTTTGAATTTCCCGCTGATTAGGTTAAAAGTTCAGATCCCAGTATAAAGTATAAAAAGTTTCGCAGAATTTTTCGAAATGATTGTCAAAATGTTCAAATTTTAAGCTTTTACGGAACATTCATGTATTGCACTACATCATACATAAATATATATGTTCATATATATTTATTTGCAAATTAAAAATGAAAATTTACTGAAAATCATTTGTAATTTTCTCAATTTCATTTGAAAGTTCCCCAAATTCAATTGGAATTTTCTCAATTTCAATTCAAAATTCTCCATTTCAATAAAAATATAAAATGGAAATTCTTAATTTTATTTAGAATTCTCTAAATTTATATTCTCAATTTAATTTAGAATTTTCTCAACATCAACGTAAAATTCTCAATTTTATTTGGATTTTTCCCAATTTTAAATTAAAATTCTAAATTTGATTCAGAATTTTCTCAATTTCAAATTGAAAATCACAATTTTAATTGGAATTTTCTTAATATGAAATGGAAATTCTCAATTTCATGTGGATTTTTCTCGATTTAATGCGTAATGTTCTCAATTTCACTTAAAAATGGTGTAGACTATGGAGTAGACTAGACTATATACTAGACTATAGACTAGACTACAGACTAGACTATAAAGTAGAGTATAGACAAGACTATAGACAAGACCATAGACTAGA